AACATGGTTGTTGTTTGTTTGTTTTGAATTTCGCGCAAAGCTACACGAGAGCTATCTGCGCTAGCCGTCACTAATTTAGCAGTGTAACACTAGAGTAGAGGGAAGGCAGCTAGTCATTATCACCCACCGCCAACTCTTGGGCTACTCTTTTATCAACGAATAGTGGAATTGATCGTCACATTATAAAGCCTCCACGGCTGAAAGGGCGAGCATGTTTGGTGTGACGGGGATTAGAACCCGCGACTCGCAGATTGAAAGTCGAACGCCCTAACCACCTGGCCATGCCGGGCCCCATCAACATGACTGCTTCATTGTTGTTCAACATTGCTATATGCATTTCATTGGACTGCTGGTCTGGGACTGATATAAAATTGTGGGATATGACATTTTCTCAGCACATGCATGTTCATATGGTTCACTAACTGTGCATAATTTATTATACGATGTGCAGTGTGTTGTGAATCTATCTTCCAACATTTGAAGTAATTCATAGTCGCACATCCCCTGCTATATATAAAATACTTTCTCATTATGAAGGCCATTCTAAATATCGTTGGAAGCTTAGGACTAATTGTAGTATATACAACAGAAATGATCTCCTTGACCCCAAAAACCTATATCTTAATATCAAAATCATTTTGCTATCTGCTCTAGAACATGAAATATGGCTATTTATCCAATGCAGCCGACATGTTGAATAACTCAAATTGGTCAGGACTGATTTTCTTGTTAATTGTTGTTTAGCCAAAAAGAAGTTTGACGTAACGTAATGGGCGGGGGCCGTAGTGTCTGAAGCTTTCTTCAAACTTTAGGTCAAGTTTAGTAAATAAATTTTAGTCTATTATAAAAAGTGAGTTAAGATAGAATATATTAGTGAGTATTATATACAATGAATGAATAATCAGTGCACAATTTAGTCACTTTTCCTGTTACTGTCAGGCAGTTAATTAATACAGTACTGTGAATGTTTTGTTTGTTTTTCTCTTGAAGAAATATAAGTATAAAATTGAGTTGTTAGTTAGCTTTTTTTAGAGCAAATTCACACTAGGCTATCTGTTGTGCCCAACTAGGATTTTAGCGTTGTAAGTTCGTAAACGTACCGTTATCCCACCAGGGGACTATGTTGCTTGTAGAATTTCTGTTTAGATCTCGATTATTTGTGAAGTTGGACCTAAAATGAACGTTGAAGAAATAAAATGTTTTCGTTATCGGTAAGTAGACTGAACATTCCATTATACTTTACTAATTCGAAAGAACTCGGCCAACAATAGAAACCGTTAAAACGATATGATTCATAAACTTTAAGAAATATACCATAAGGATTTATTATAAAAAATAGAAAATTCCACACATACTTGCAATAAAGCATTTCATGTATCTAATGTATCTATTTGTTGGTTCATTTCTTTCTGTTATTAAAAACAAATAACACAGTCACAATCATGCACTAATGTTAGGCACACTTTCGCCATAATACGTAACTTCATACGTAGTTAAGAAGTATATTTCAACTTGTTGAGTAGTTGTTAGACAGAATTTTCATTTCAATGTTCAAACAATAACTCATTTCATAAGGATTAGCTTTCTTACAATTTAAATAATTTGTTTTTGTATAATTATCCAAGTTATTTTAAAAGCTCACTCGTGTAGTGTAATCTCTCCGGATACTTCTTTAACATTCTCAATTAAAAATATGTTGGAAAAATTTTATGCTTAATAATCTATTAGAGGCTCCAATAATAAACCATATAATCAAACCTATCGACAAAAGTTGCAACACAGTGGTTCAAAAATTGAAAACTAATATATTTAATATCTGCAAAAATATTCTCGATTTTCATAAAATATCATTGCATAACACAAAAGTAAATAAATCATGCAATCGTCCAAGAATTTTATAAAGTGTTTTAATTTAACCAGTACAGTCAGTAGCCCAGGAACCAGGAGAGTAATTACTCCATTAATTTTATGTAGAGGGAGCAAGCGAGAGCGGCGGCGGTCAATCTCAAGTAGAATAATTCCTATGGGGACCAAATAAACAATAAGTTGTTTAGAAATTATAAATTTTTGTGAGTCAAAATAATTTTTTGAAAATTATTTACTGTAGTATCACTAACTACATAACTGCTACACCCTTCATGTGTAAGTGATTCCTGACAATTTCAGATTTGTAAAAAGTCACTCCTCCTTTATAACACTGTGTACAATTATGGTAGTCTCAGACGCATTTATTTCCCTATAAGTATAGGATAGAACCGCTAATAACAGCAGGGTCGAACAGGTAATTTGCTGAGTTATCTGAATCTGAAAGCTCGCCTGAGTTTTTAAGTTGCTTTAGAAATAAACATATTGGGCATGTTTTAAAGGATATTGAAAACAATCTTTGTTTCAAACACAAGAAAAAAAAGTAAACAAAACAAATGTGAGTAAATGAGTAGACAAATTGAGGATCGCCTCTACTGAATAAATGACTAATCTTCAACTTTTTTTCCCTCGAGTTGAATAGCTGCATAGCCAGTCACGAGCCATGTAGGAAAGACCCCCAAATCTAGGTTTCACGTTAACATGAAACCGCCAATTTCTTTGTCTTGTTGGCGTTACCACGTAACTTATTATTCTCTCTTTTACCTTCACATTTTTTTTAGCCATTCCACTATCTTCTACCCAGCCAACGAAAGAATGTGTCAGCACAGGAAAATTGGAGAGAGAGACAAAGTCACGCTTGAACAGAGAAACTCCAACGGTGTGGACCAAACATTCTAAAGCTAAAATCTGCATAGAAACAACCTACATGGACGTTTCAAAATGTTCTATGTTACTAAAGATGGTGAAAAAGTACGTGATATACTTGAATATCACACATTCACACTTTTTTGTTATTAATACTTTCTTCGGTGAAATAAAATATTTCCGAACTTTTATAGCTTAACGCTAGCATTTTGTATTTTGATATTTCTTGACTAGAAGTGTCATTTCATAAAAGGCTTAGGGGAGGAGCAAAGAAGACTGATCTCGCATTTACCTCATTGGGGCCTTACGCTATTGCGTAATTTGCATATATTTAATAATCTGACTTGACTAGAATTTCATCACAGGAACTGCCATTTGGGCCCCCTCTCGAGCTTGGGGATGGGGGCTACCCCCAAATGAGACTCCTGATTTTGATCTCATAAATTAGAACATTATAACTGCTTTTCCTACCAAAAGATAACCTTGTAAGTAAAGACTAATTTACAGGCTTTTAACCCGATTTATTTTCATATTTTCTTTTTTTTTACCCGTTTTTACTTTAGATGAATTAGGCCAACATGATCACTTTTTTATCCCTTCTGAAACCTAATCTATTCAAATAAAATTCAAATAATTTACAGTTTTCATTCGAATCTTAAATTACCGTTCTATGCAGTTTTGTCAACAGACGGTTTGACACACGCGTTGCTTTTATGACCTTTTGATCTTTGGATCGTTACGCTTATGTATATTTATCGTGAAAAGTAACGGTCATGCATCCACAGCTGTTCGTGTATCTTGACCTTCGAATTTCGTCAGTCATGTGAAGATTCGCGTGATAAGAACTGCGTAGTATTAGTAAAACTACGAAAATACAGTCTACGTCTAAAGTCGCCAGAATAAAAACGGTAATTGCAGTTGGTCCACACAACTTATAAACAAGTAAAATATAAGCCCAAGGGAAAAGTGAATACAAATTAGAACAAGTGCTATCTAGCGTAACTAGGATACATATTCGAAAATGAAGTTTTGCTTTTACTACCGAAAAATGCACGTTGAACGTTAAATAATAATAAAATAAAAACAGAAGCTGATTTAAAGTAATTTAGTCAGCAAAACCTCACTAATTAATCAGCGGTTCTTTAGTTAGCTAATCAAGCATGACATAAAATCTGTCATTAATCATTTAAATCCATACAATCAGAAGCCTATAGCGTATTTGAAAGTAACTTCAAGTTATATCAACGCAATATATCTGTTTGAGGTTAATAAAACAGATCTCTAACGTAATGAGGTCAATATAAGATCAACCGAGATTGTGTCTTCTAAGTTTACTTACTCGGTTAAGGGTCATTAAATCTGCCGTACCCTCAGTTTAGGTCAATAATACAAGGTTAATTAGTAAAACTTGTTAGATGTACGGTTTTTATTTCTCATTTAAATCGATAAAATATGCCATTACAGACTCTTCCATTAAAATCATAAGAGCAACAGAAATACAGCTGATGAACTCTGATAACACAAAGCTATACCATCTTGCTGTAAACAAACAATCGTCTTGATTGTATTGGAATTCACCTACCCCTTCTTTATTGCTATTAGGAGTTAACTGCAAGCGCCTGTGATTAAAATTGGATGTCAGTAGAAAATAAAGCTAAACTTTTACATATTAATTTATTACAACTGTATACTGTGTTAAGTTTAAAGAGTATAACTATCTTATAAGTATTTGGGTATTAAAAGTTTAAAGTTGGAAACAATTTTATGCCCAAATCCTTAGAAATGTACTGATAAATGTATACCAATATTTTCAACTTAAATGAACTTTTTTGAGGATTTTGTTTTTAAAAAAGTATACAGTAAATTTCTTCTCTTTATATGACTTATTGTGCATTCTTCAGTTTTTGATTATACCTAATTTATTTTATTTTTCTAAATACTGATGCCGTAACTTTAAAGCACGCTGAAGAAATAATGCTTATCAACGGCAATAAAAGTTCTGAAGATTGGATTCAAAACATATTGTTACGTCT